GAGGCCCGACGTCCCTGTCAGCACACTTCTGGCAGAGTCAAGCTCTGATACCATTTGTAACGACCTACTCCACCACATGGTATGATATTGTCCGCTTTGGACCTGAGCCCACACGGTTTTACTTTTTGGATTTTACTCCAAAAGGCCTCATACCAATTGGAGTGACATACCTACATATAAGCACTTCACCTTTCCCTTTCCCAGGCGATGTGGGATTGTACATCCGTAACTCGTCAGTGTGGTAGCCTGTCAGTGTCTCGCATCCGCTCACGGCACATCCGTCCACAGGGTCATCACAATATTATACTTGTTTTATACTGTGTTACATCAATGTGTTTTTAACTGTTATTGGGCTTACTTTGTCTATTTGGGCTAAGGCCCACGCTGTACAACATATATACTGTACAATTTGATGAAAAACAATGAACAAATTGCTTAGCTAGTTCAATCTTAACTTACATAATAATAAGAGAGCTGATATTGGCACTGCACAATAATACTTTGGCGCTCTACTTTTGTTTTCTAAATGAAATTACAATTTCGTGCTCTCCACTTTTATTTTCTAAATGAAATTACAATTTCGTGACATCTTCCATTTTTGGAAGGGATGTGTATCATTAGTGAGATCTTCCATTTTTGAAGAGAAAGAAGGAGAGAAAGGATGTGAGGGGACATGAGAGAAGTGGAATAAATCTACATGCAAGAATTCTAACTTTTGGCACCAAGAATCTACCCTAAAGAATGGAAAGAGTCTCACTTTAATAGGGGAAGACAATTATGGTATTAAAAATGGTAATAACCAAACTTGTGTGATGAGGGTTAATTTGTAATTTCATTTAGAGAGAGAATGAAAGTGGAGCTCCATAGTGCTATTGTAGAGGGCCAATATTAGCTCTCAATAATAATAATAATAATAATAATCAACGGGCCAGTAGTCTAACGGTATCGACCTTTTATCTTTAAAGGGAGATCAGGGATTCAAATCTCAGAAGAGACATGTCTTGTGAGTACCAACTAGGAATAATAATAATAATAATAATAAATGCTTAGCTAGTTATTTGCTTGATGATTGATTAGCCTTAATATTAACACACTTTCTTCATTTTAATTTTTTTGCAATGCTTGAAGATTGAAAATTTTAAGACCAATAAACAATACATGTATAAGACAACTAATAAGTATGTTCATATGGGTTCACGTGATATCAATTATCATCTTCTCAATACGTTGAATACACGTTCATCACATTACCTACATATACAAATTATATACATATATAATTTGTATACATGTAAATATATATATATATATATATATATATATATATATATATAATTTGTATATACATAATTAATCTTCAAACTGTTCATGCAACGCGCGAGTTAATCCATTTATTACTTTGTTCTTGAGTCCCCATTGAAGGGTCTCGTTTTTACAAATTAATTAGCAGCTTGTGTGTGTGTCTATATATATATATATATATATATTTCATTTTTCTGCTGTACCACGTATATAATTATTAGTACACAGCATTGCTAATAACCATCTATATTCTAAAAGTTTTAGCTATTTGAGAATTAAAAATATATGAATTAAATATTTGATCCAACAAATTTAAGCTATTATTAGATTCAACAAACATGAATATATACGAAGCTACATGTTTCATCTCTCTTATCCCTTAATATATACTCATTTTATTTAGTAGACTTCATTCTCTATTTATATTTTTCAGTGCATTTATGGATGAAGATAGCATATATATATATATATATAATGTGTACTGGTACCTTCCGTACCTAGCTAGCATATTAATGGAAGCGATATTGTAATAATGTAGTAGTCTGCATTAAATTAAAAGTGTCGAAGCCAGCTAGAGAGAGCTCATAATGGAATGACATAATATTGTTAATTTGTTTCATCAATGTGAACGAGATATATATTGGATGAGATATATAGGATGGGCGGGCTTTGAATCTTCTTGAACTATGTTGGAGGATGAAGAGGCAACATCCATGTGGGTAACGCTCTAAGAACCATCCAATCCCCATTTTATATATTTGTGTGTGTGTGTGACTGTGTGTGTGTGTGTGTGTATATATATATATATATATATAGAGAGAGAGAGAGAGAGAGAGAGAGACAGATTCAGGAAAAGGTTCATGTATCAATAACCATATCCATAGTACGTAATGGCATACGTGCCATCATGGTAGCTTATGTGAAGAAACAATATATAATCTTAGGAGACGAACTTGTTGACTGATGAGAGGTAGCTTGTTATATTTTACAACAATTAAGAATAATAAACTTCCGGGAAAAAAAAAAAAAAAAAGAATAATTATAATAATAATATTTCAATTATAATGTGCTTGGTGCTATCATTTTTCTTAAAGAATATATATACATAACATTTTCAAAAATCATATTGCCTATGTATATATATATATATATATGTGTGAGGTGTGTGTTTGTGTGTGTATAATATTAGTAAAAATCGCGTGGATGGCACATTATTAGAAGTTGGTCATATAAATGTTTTTATTTTTTATTTTTTTAAGGATAAATGTTGTATTAAAAGAAGAAGAACATATATGGTATTCAAAGGGGATACCCCAAAACAGAAAAGCTAATCAACAAAAATCCTTGGGCTAAACATGGATTAGTTTATAATCCATCACACAATTCAGCCCAAGTCAGAAGCCCAAAACATTTAATTTTGTAGTTTTCCTTGGATGGCTAATCGTAGGCAATCGGAGTGCTTGGGTTTTTTTTTTTTTTTTTTGGTTAAACTTAGAATGCCATGTATGTGTAGTTTTATTGCTTAATGATACATCCAAAACTAAAAATTGTTTTAGTAGGTCGGAAAATAGACTAAAGATGATACACAATGCAGAGCGACCCCTCACAGTTGAATTATAAAATCATAAGTAACCTTTTAACTCCATTGGCTGAACATATTAGGCAAACACAAAGATAGGTAGCCCTAATTACCAAAACCAACTAAGAGATATGAAGCACCTCCCTCATCCTTATAACTAAAAGATCAACACACTCCATAAGTCATCTAACGAAAGGTCAAAACTTAAGTTACACAATTTTTCTAAATGGGTATCGCTCTTACACTTTGCACGCGTTCTTGCTCCCATTTTCCCTTTGTGTGACTTAGATTTTGTCACTTTTACACTGCCTTATAAAAAACAATATTATGTATAAATAGAAATATATATTTTATATGTTTAGTTATATATCCAAATAAGATATACAAATTACTAGTAAATTAAATGAAATCTCAAAGAATCCCACGATTTAATATTTTTTGGTTTCAACCCTGCGACATAGAAGGAATAGGAGAAGGCCTAATAGAAACTTTCGCACTCGCTCTGGCTCCCACACCCACTCCGTGTGACTTAGGCCCTAACACAAGAACCACAATGATGCGAGGACATAGAAATTGTGATTATAAAGAGATGAAATTCTAGTCCAGGAAGAGACCACACTTTTTTTCGCCAAAATATTAAGCAAGTTGTTTAAATAAAAGATAGTTAAAAGAGTATACAAAAAAGGCCTTTGGCAATTACAACTTAGTTTCCTGGTGACTCAAGCTCAAAAAGGACTAAACCCTAACCCAACCTAAGGACAAGCTTGGCCCAGAAGAGACCACACTTGATTTATTGAATGGTCCCATCAGATCGCTAGTTCTTACTTCTGAATATCAATTTTCCTACGGGTTAATTTTAGTGACACCCCATCAGATTTGGACAAATATTACTTTAAAACATCTTTTTAAAATTACTATCACTTAGGTCCAATTTTACTTTTCCGTCACTGAAACTGTTAAAAATTTGAAAAAAACAATTTTACCCTTAATTTTTTATTATTTTTTATTTAAAAATATGAGCACCCTACAATAACTATTTTACCCTCAATATTTAAACCCAAAAGTCAAAACTCTATATCTCTCTCACCCCAGTGAAAACATGAGCGTCCTGTATTCATATATACAACAATTATATATATATATATATATATATATATATATATACACACACACGCACACAGATTTATATATTAAGTAAGTCATAGCTGATTTAAAGAAGAAAAAAAAATGTAAACTCATGGGAAATTCCCAGAAGGTTAAAAAGAAAAAAAAAAAAGAAAAAAAGAAAAAAAAAAAAAAGCAACAGAGTGGTTACTGTTTGGATGGATCGATGCCCGCAACTTGTCGGGGACTTTTCACTAGATCGGATCGAGGACGATCCCTTTTGCACTTACATGCGCTGGTGGTGAAGGAGTAGATGTCGGCGAAGGTGAGAAGCCCGTGAGGCCTCGGCACCTGCTAACTGGCATACATATACATACATATATATATATATATACAGGCAAGGGCAGAGCCAGGATTCTATGGCAAGGGGGGCCGAAACTATTAGCAATATTACCATCTAATATACGACTATTTTAAGCCAAAAACTTTCTATTATAAATAACGTTCATACAAAAATATATCTAGTCAAACTTTAGCCAATTTGTTTACAAAAACAAAAAAATTGGCTATATCTAGTCAAATATGACATAGATATGAACAACAATAAACCAAACATACCAAATATCTACTACAAAAGCTGAGCTCAACGATGTTTCAAAGAACAAAAATCATCTATTATCGAATCTGAACTAAAAGTCCCAGCAATTTCTTCTTCAATATTGATACTTAAGTAATCTGCAAGAAACTCATCCTCCATCTTATTGCGAAGTTTGGTTTTGACATTTTTCATAGTTGAAAATGCCCTTTCTGTAGTTGCCGTGGAAACTGGAAGAGTTAAGACAAGACGAATCAATCTATCAATCAAATAATACACATCTGATTTCTTTGTTTCCACTAATCCTCTACATAGTTCAGAAATTGTTGTCATGTTTTGGAAATGTGGATGGTGAGGTACTTCAATCTGATAATGTTGCAATTGAAATCTCAACATAATCCTCTCTTGGTCTGTGAAAGCTTAAGGATAACAATTATTTGCAAGCTTGCAAATGTCATCAATTTTAAATAGCTTGTAACCATCTCTAGGATCCAAAGCAGAACTTAGGACAATTAGTTCCACTACCTTTTCGCTAAATCTGTTATTCAACTCCTGCAATTGTGAATCAATTGTGCCATTGAATATATCAATCCGATAGTGGTGCTCAAGTAAAATATTTTCTTGTGGGTGACGTGGTCGACCTTTACCTTTTGTATAAGGAGCACTCATATCAGGCACATCTATGTTATGACGCTCACAAAATGATTTAACAACCCCAAGTAGGTTGTTCCATTCATCTTCTCTTAATTTTAGAATGATGTTTTTAGTAGTCAAAACCAAATGCATAGCATTTAGGATGTCTTGAGATTTTTGTTGCAAAGCTTCACAAAGGATATTACTTGCTCCCATAATATCTTTCACCAAATGCAAAATAAACATAAACTCAAATGATGTAATAATATCAAAAGCAGAATCGGCATCCCCCCGTTGGAAGCAAGTGGATTCATCTTTAATAGTGCTTCGAAGAACTGAACATGTAAGACCAAACAACCTGATTAAGCTACAAACGGAATCAAAATGAGAGCTCCAACGAGTATCCCCAGGTCGTTGCAAGGAACCAATCTGATTAGCTCCTCTACTAGTCTCAATTTCATCAAGAGCTATCAAATGGGCAATTTCAGCAGCTTGAGTAAATTGTAATTCATCATTTCGTTTGCAAGAAGCTCCAATGATATTGATAATGAAGTTCAACTTTGAAAAGAATTGATGGACAGGGATAACTTCTCTGGATGATGCAACTAATGCTAGTTGTAGTCGGTGAGCCAAACAATGCACATAATATGCATAAGGGCAATCATTAAGAAATAATGCTTGCAAGCCATTCCATGCTCCGCGCATATTGCTAGTACCATTATAACCTTGCCCTCGAAGATCCTGAACACTAAGATTATAATGAGAGAGAACTGTAGAAAGTGCATTTTTCAAAGTCAATGAAGTTGTATCTTTAACTTGCACAATATCAAAGAAACGCTTTTGTAAAAAATCATCTCTGTCAACAAATCTTAGAACAAGAGCCATTTGTTCTCTCTTAGATTCATCACGTGCTTCATCAACAAGAATACAAAACTTGGCATCTCCAATATCTTCACGAATCTTACTTCTCACTTTTCCAGCAAGAACATGTAAAATTTCCTTTTGAATTTGTGGTGAGGTATACTTGGCATTTTTTGGAGCATTTTCTAGAACAAGTTTAGCAACGTCATCATTATATGTTGCCAAAATCTTTACCATTTCAATGAAATTGCCCCTATTTCTTGATTCGGGGCATTCATCATGCCCTCTAAAAGCATAAGCTTGAAATGTAAGCCACCGAACCGCATTAACTGAAGTTTTCAGTCTCAATCGGTTATTTGAAATTTGTTCTAAAGTTTGTTTTTCCATCACTTTATCAATATGACAAGGTTGATACATTAAATCTTTGCACGATCTCTCGGCAATGTTGTGAGGTGAACAAGGACCTTCTCCAATATGATTTAAGAAAACACAATTCTTTCTAGTGTTAATTTTCTTCCAATTTCAAAATCCTTCAAGGGTGAATGCATTGGTTTCGGGATGCCCTGTTGGTTTCTTTCCAAAAAGAAAGCAAGGTAAACAAAATGCAGCATCCTTTGTAGGAGAATACTCTAACCAAGAACAAAATAATTTGAACCAAGATGATTGAAACCGACAGAGATGTTTTGCCGATCCAGAACGGGGATACTCTGAAAGAATAATTTGATATGATTTCGCATTGATATAAGCTCGACGAATTTCATCTTGTTGGCCAATAGGATATTCCCATATTTGACGACGCAATCTCAGATCACGTTCTAAAATGGCAGAATCAACCTGTGTATGTTCAACTCGAGGATATTTTGGAGGATGTGGGTTCTCAAGAACTCGAGGATATTTTGGAGGATGTGGGTTCTTAAGAACTGAAGCATCAAGATTACAAGAGGAAGGTACATCATCATTTGATTTATCGATGTTTTTTCTTTTTAAAGAACATGTCAATAGTTTTTGGTGGCTTGCCCATTGTATAACACTATACCTAGGCCTACGCTTCCAAAGTAACCAATTGACCTGAAAATTAATTTAACAATGAGTTATTTGAAGAATATTTTTATCAAACTTTCCTAACAAACACAAGAGTGATTTAATCTAAAATTTAAATCACTTTTAATTAAACAAATAAAATTTTAATTTATAAACAAAAAAATATAATTAATAGTCAAGCAAAAACTGAAACACAATATGTGTAATATTATAATCACATTATTACTATCAATCTTTCATTATTTTCAATTATCAATTAATAGTATAATTATATAAAGAGAAAAATTCAGAATTGGTACCTCTAATTCAGCAGTACTTTACACTAATATTCTCCAACCACCAATATATGAGTAAGTGTGTAAGACTCCAATTGAACCAATCCTTCCAAGTTTCCAACTACAAAATTAAGTAAGCACTACAACATTAGAATAAATGTTGATTTTTTTGAAAAAAAAAATACATGTATGGAATTCAAGACTGTAACTTATTTTTTACTCATATTTGATTTCAAGAGTCCAAGATTTTATGATTATGCAATCAAATTGATGAACCATGATAGACTTAAGTCACTTGATTATTTATAGTTCATAGTATTAGAATTTTAGAAACACTGCAAAAATTGAAGTATTTGGGGAAATTGGAAAGTATAATTTGAAAAATGACAAAATGAAATTTTGTTTAATAATTTTAATTGATTGTTGATTTTACATTGTTACATAACTAATAATTTATACTACCTATAGAAATAATGCATAGAAGAGTATTTGAAAAAAAATATAATTAGGGTTTTCAATAATAAAAAATGCTAAAAAGATTAAAGTTAAAACAAAAATAGAAGGGAAATTAGTAACTTACATATTCTGATTCAGTTACTTCAATTGATCTGTGGATAAATCGTTGATGGATCAAAGATTCAAGATGAGTTGCAAACTTGCCGCCACTGCCCTTTTTTTTTTTTTTTTTTTTTTCTCTTTCTCCTTTTGTTCTCTACTTTTCGTGGTCTCTCAGTTTCACTCTTTGTATTTGTTTTGGGAAAGTAAAAAGATGTTTTACTTTTATCTTTCCATTATAAAAATATAAAAATGATACTTATTATTTGATTCCCGATGCTACATCAATCATCAGCATCTTATATATAATATATATATCATATATGTATATTATATTTGTTAAGTCAACTTTTTTCTTTTTTTGGATGGGACCGTGGGGGGGCCAAACATAAAATTACCTTTGCTATTTTTTTTCAAAACTGTATTCAGCATATACTAAAAAAAAAATTTCTATTTTTGGGGGGGGCCATGGCCCCCTCCGGCCCCCCCTCAGCTCCGCCCCTGTATACAGGCGGATGCAAAGTACGTAATTGTTGAAGATTAGTGTAATAATTCCATGGAAGTAGATGACTCGGTCGGTGAGTAGATTGCGAGTCCAAGCTCGTCTTGTATTTTCTTCTCTTATTCAGGTATGCACATGGGTGGATTTTGGTGAGAGAAACCAAGGCCAGCGATTCTGGAATGAATTTGGAATTCTCAATTCTATTTCCATCCCGTCCTCATCTATCCAATTTCACAATTCCAGCAGTTTGAAGACCATATTGATAGGTATGTATTAATGGGGTATAGGAATTTTGCAACTGTATGCAGGGGCGGAGCCAGGATTTTATTTCAGAGGGGGCAAATGCACTTGTTAATTTTTTTTTTTTTTAATAAATATGACAATATAATTTTTTTTTAATGAAAAAGGCAAATAAGAAAAAAATAGTTGTAAAATAATATACTAAATAAATACCGTAAAAAAAAAATATAGTTACAAATATAAGAATCAAAATATTAATTAATGATATTTTAATTAGATACAATCACAAATGTCATCGATAAAATAAATAAGTTTAAAAAAAAATAGAAAAATACAAAGAAATTTTTTGAAAAAAGAAACAAAAATTAGAAAAGGAAAAATATATTGTATATTTGAAGAAGGGATGTAAGTAATTTTTTTTTTTTTCAAAAGGAAATTAAAAGAATTTTTGAAAATTTGAGGGGGGGCACTATTTAAAATTACCATATAAGTATATATATATATATACCAAAAATATGCACCTATGTATAGTAGGTTGGAGCAAAGTGAGGGAGGGCACGTGCCCCCTCTAGGCCTTAATTGGCTCCGCCCCTAACTGTATGTGAGATTTAATAAGGAGTGTTGGCGAGGTTCCAAGAAGGATTTTGTAGAACAAGAAATTAAGCCGAGGTTTTTTTTTTTTTTCGGGCTCGCTTGTTTTTGTAAGACATCAAAACATGCTCAAGTTGAGTGTGATAAAGCTATTCCTGAGCTTTTTTGGGGTGGATTGCAAAAATTTTTCGCTTGTATCATCTTTTTCATGAACAACAAAATTGCTTATGAATTATGATAAAGAGAGGGTAGGTGCTTGTAACTGATTTTAACACAGATTTTTTTTTCTTCTTTTGTAATATTATTGAACTGATATATATCATTTTAATAGCTTGTCATTGAATTTAGATGTCAAAATAACTTGAGAGATTTGAGATTTCAAAACCCATGCTTCTTGGGGTGTTTTGGATTATACGCAGAAGAGGGAGAAAGGGACATTAGCTCAACATATTTCACCGGTTCAATGAGGGCATAAATGTCATTTTATACATTAAAAATTCTTTAATAAGTCAACACAAAATTAAAAGAGTAATAATGCCATTTTACATGTCAAAAGTGTTTTGACACTCTTGAAAAGTGACGTTTTGAGTATGAGTGAAAGACGGAATAAACATTTTGGGCTTTAGTGATAGTAATTTTCGAAAGATTTTTAAAGTAATATTTGGCCAAACGTGAAGTGGTATCACTGAAATTAACTTTTTTTCTACACTGAAAATAAATATTATAGGAGAAGAGGCAGGATCAAAGTGATGCTTGAGTTACTGTAATGGCACAGTAGTGGTTATTATATACAACTAGTGGTAACTTTAGACATTATGTACATAGTACCCTAATTCTTTATTTTATTTTATTTTATTTTAAATAACGTACTTACAAATTTTGTTCTTGAGGGAATTGAAAGTTTCAACTTTCTACTTTGAAATAATTTGTGGTAGCCCATATTATTAGATTGCATGCCTTTAATGATACATTATTTTCCATTTATACAATATGCTTAGTTGTTATACTTGTTTAATGTAATGGATCATTGTACTGTTGAAATTGTCATATGAGAGGTGAAAGTAAAAATGTGATCGGTCCACTGATCAGTTGTTAAGTCCTCTCGTTTGGTCGGAGGTTGTGAGTAGGGGTTTTGATTCCTTTCTCTAGTCCATTTTTTTTTTTAACTATCTATCCCTCTGTTTGTAAGTCAACAAATTACCAAAAAAATATATATGAAAAAAATTCTTCACACAAAGTTCACACATCCATTGCATCCATTTGTGTTTACAAGAAATTAATTAAATTCAGACTTGCTACGCAACCGTTTTGATGGCTAACGCACTTCTCTCTCTCTCTCTCTCTAAAAAGAACTAGTAAAAGATTTTGAGGTACTCAATGGGATTCTCATTTGGTACGGTACAACCAAAAATCAACTAATTTTTTTTTGCACTTTTCGAAAAGCCAGCACACTTGACATTGCCTTTTTTTGGGTCAAAGCTAGCACTCCATCGTTCTTCCTTAGGAAGGTCATTTGCTTTAAATATCAAATAACAAATAGTTGGTGTTTTGTAAAGTTGTTTAATGGCTTTTGGAACTTGGACAGTGACTGTATACAAGGTTTTATAGCATCCCATCTTAGGAGATAAAATAACAATGCACGGGAATCACACACTATATATATATTTTTTTTTTTTTTTTTTTTTTTTTTTTTTAAAGCTAATTGCAATACGTGACTTCATGACAATGTTGTATGACCTAGAGGGGTGAATATGTCTTTTTGCTTGATTTTGTGATTGATTAATTACCTGCAATAATTAACAATTAAAAATTTACCAATTGGAAAGAACACACCAGAAACCAATTTTTTTACATGAAAACCCTCAAGAAAAACCACAGAGACTATGAAACCTATCTACTATGTCAAAACAAAGTTACAAATTCTACAAATTTTGACTCAGGCTCACACCGACTACACTATATCAAGAACTAACTGTTAAACATCCCAAACTCACTCCTGGGACACCTGGCCAGTTGTTGCAGACTCCTGACTAACTTCTTCTTTTCGTTGTTGGAGACACTAGGCTAACTCTTCAATCCTTGCATAGAAGAACGTACACAATCGCATCACAAACAATATTTGTCCCTTTTGTAAATTGATTCTCCTTCCTTTCAAGAGTACAAAGGATTAAGAAATAAAATTT